ACGAAGCCAATAGTTACCTGTTATGGTGAATGCTGGTTCCTTCGCTTCTATTTCTCTCTGGAAAGAAAAAAAAAGGATAAGAAAGATCAAGAATCATTATAATCTGGTGACTGTAATTTTGAAAGGGAAGCATTCAAAGTAGCAGTAACAGTGTGTTATCTTTCTGTATGAAATTCAATGAATGAGTGAAATAATAAAATGTGAAAATAAAAGAAATAGTTACCTACCAATTTCCTTTGGCTGTTTTCTGACAGAGCCAGTAGACAAACCAACACTAACAGCAATGTACCCAGCTACTCAAACTTCATAGGTTGTAAACTCAAGTCCTGTTAATTGATCTGACAGCTTATCAGGTCCAACAGTCTTGTTGCGTTCTGTTGAAGATCCAAGGACCTTGGAATTGTAGTAACTAAGGTAGCTCAAAAGCTTTCCACTCTGACGTTCTCTAGAAATGGCATCCCAAGATATGTCCGAGGTTAGAGAAGAACTGGAACTGACTTTAAAGTTTCCAGGAGCAGTAGAGGGAGCTTCAAGAATTAACAGATAAAGGCAATTGTTGTCAGATGTCAGTTATCAGTTGTCACCTTAACAGCAAGAAGACAAGCAAATCTTAATTCGTCTATTTAGCGGTTCCAAAGTAGAAATGAGTAGGACGGATGTTTTTTTTCTCAAAAACCTTTCCTAGCGGCCGTGTAACCAATGTAGCGTGCGATCTGTTTAAAGCACTTACATCAGTAATACCAGAACATGTGTAGCGAGCATGTTATTTCCATTAAATGTCTTGTCAACTTATTTAAGAGACACTTCATGCCGTACCAGAGAAGTGCACTGCACCTCTCTGGTACGACATGTACAGCTTTTAATGTAGCGACATACAGGTACTTTGATTTTTTTATGTACAGCTTTTAATGTAGCGACATACAGGTACTTATACACTTGGATAGACAGTGATCACATGGTCTAGCTTTTCGATAAAGCTAATTTCTGGGTAAGATCCATCCATGCTACCAAACCTACATAGCTTTAAGAAACTGTTTTGTGCTCAGAAGGTTAGTCTACGACCGGCTCGTGCATAGGTACGTTTCTATAACCGCACGGCAGTTGAGATATATGAATTTCATATCTTCATTGTGTTTAAGGGAAAACAACCAAAAACATGTGACGACTGTGAGCTGTGAGGATATTGTTGTAGAAATTAATTTCATAACTCACTTGATTCTTTAGTTCTCATATCAAGTGAAACTGACCAAGGGCCATGTCCCTTATCATTATCTACTCTCACATTGATGTCATACCGAGTGTATGGTGTTAGCTCATCGATTGTGGCAGATCTTCTCCCTGTAACTAATTTTTCTTGTAAGTTGGGTATACCAACAGCCTGCCACTTAACAACATACCCTGTTATACCGTCCCCCACATCGGTCGGTGCACTCCATGAGACGAGGATTTTATTTGATGAAACATAATTTACAGAGAGTGAGAATGGCCGGCCAGGCAGCCTGAAAAAATGAATTTAATGAAGAAGATGAACTAAACTGAAATCGACATCTCAAATAAATATCTTATATGTTAATATCAACAAATAAAAAGAGAAAACAAATTAATAGATAGAAGTAAGAAATAGACATTAGAAACAATTTATTTGCACGGTAGTAACGATAAATTAAGATCACATGTAGCAGGGTTTTGATAGCATTCGGGTGGTGGGTAGATTCACCCGATCGTGATGCACTGGCTACCCACTTGTAGCCTTTTCAAAAAAGTAATTGTAATCCTAACATACCGCTAATTCTCTTAAAAAATTGTCAAAATCAGTTGACTTTGAGGAACACAAAAGCGGCATGGATTAGAAAAAACCTTAAAATACCGGGAAATGCAAATGCAAAAGTCTCTATTTTCATAATCTCTTAGGGGAATCCCATACCTCTCTGCATGCCGGAGAACGAGATGGAATCCCTGTTGGACAAATTACCTCTTTGCTACGGTTAATCGCCAATTTATTTTATCTGTTATTGACCATCAACGTGTAAAAACCATTTTAAATTGACATAATGCCTAAATAGAAGAGCGAAATTAAAGAAAAACTGAATACATTGTTACTTCAAAGAGCAGCACTTGTTTAAATAAGTGCACCATTTGTAGTTAAGCATAGCGCATAGACATAATCGAGGCTTTCCCGTCTTGTAAGACCATTTGGGGCCACGGATAGATACTAGTGTACTTTACCTGGAAAGTCTTCGATCATCTCTTACCTGCTATCAAATTACACCCATAAAGCTCAGATTTTAGAGCACAAGTGTTGGAGCACATTGTTGGGTTCAAACTTATGTACTGGGCTTTGAGTGAAGTATTGAAAAGAACTCTTTTTGTATTACTTATGTTGCCTTGAAACACCTGAAACAAAAATAATTCAAAGAATGAAACTCATTTTCAACTGTAACCTTACTTTTCACAAATTATAAGCCGTTACTGAACCTCACCTTGCACCTAAATACCC